AATACTTGCGACAACCTTCCCTCTTTAGTGGTGTCGCCGCAAAGAAAGGAGGTGCCTGAGGAGCCCGCTGCTGGGGATACGAGCTCGGGGCGGATAAGCGGCTCCTTTGGCGGTCATCTCAGCCAGCCGGGGATGTCCTAGACGTGTCTCTAAACATCGTGATATTCGCTACCTCCCCTACGGCATCCATACGTCATTCCTCCTTTCTCGAACGATCTCCTACCACGTAAGCGGAGCGTAATGCGGTCCGCCAAATTCGGAGTTGAGCAGAACTGGGATCCATATCTTTTTTTGAGCTGCCTGCCCAGCAAGCTCCGTCGGCACCTACCCCACAAACAAAAGGCAGACAAAAGAGATTACAACCTGAGAAAAGGCCGACGAATGGCAGCATACCTAGTTTTGTCGCCGAGGGGTTTTTCCAGAATTTTTTGTAACATGGTCACCAATCGTCCCACTCCCACGGCAGCTCGACGCCGGCGGCTCGTTCCGCTCCAAGCGCGTATATACCTGCCAGGGTACCCCGTGCGGCGACATTTCCCAGCTGTCCATCTTTGCCGTATCAATGTGGATCTTCGCATACAGCCGGTTATTCCTTTTCAGCCACACCAGCGCCGCCTCGAAAACACGGCGCCGTACCGACAGGAGTGCCGAGAGATCACGCGGTGCCGGCCTCTCCGGTCCCTGCCAGAACACGTGGATTTCCTCCATTACCTTCTACAGCGGATGGGAGAGGACGTTAAACACCAGTTCCTGCACATTATTGGGGAAGACCGTAATATGCCCCTTAACGTGCTTCGGGTAACTCGCGCTCCGCTTCCTCCCCTCCGGGGTACTGTACGTCGTAATAAGGCATAACAGGAATTTAGCGCGATCAGCTTCCCCTCCACGACCGTGAGGCCCTTTAATTCGTTAGGGAACATGTGCTCGCAACCCAGCTGCGTGTGTAGCTGGGCGCCGGCCGACACACCGCCTTTCCTTAGATGCCTTACACAGTCAGCGCAACCGGGAATCTTCTCTCCCGGCGGGAAACACCGACGACACGCGAAAGGTGAACCATCCCGCTTCCCGACGCGACTCCTTGCCCTCCAATCCTACTCGATCGTTTCCAGCTCCACCTTAGCGCATTTCCGGTAGCAGACCATACAGGTTTGAATCAGCAGGGTGCTCATGTCGTGAAACGCTTTGTAGAATTCCTGAACCGTGGTCACCTTCCTGTCGTGAGGGATGGGCGTGCTCCACGTTTGCCCCCGAGACAGCCGCTCCTTCTTGGCGAACTTTTCGTTTAAGCTGCGCAGAGAACCAGCAAGCTCTTCCCTTCGGTCTCCGTCGCTCCTCTCCCGATGGGTTGCCGCCTTGGCGTGTTTGGGCTGCGGCTAACTGTTATTTAAGGGGCTCTGTCTCTTTCTCGGCCGCGGCCTCGATCCCCCGTGTTCCTGGCCCGGTTTGGTCGCGTCGCCCTCCACCTCTTCGTCGCCTCCTGGTACGCTTCCTGGTTGTTGATACTCATTCCGTACCATGAGTCCGAATTTGTCGAAGCCGAAACCGGCTGGTATATCGGTAACGGCTAGCTTCCGGAAAGGTAAGGCGATTCCTTTCTTGTCGTCTTTCGCTACGTATCGACCTTTATGAGTCCAGGCCTTCAGGTGTATCAAGTCTCCGCAGTCGATAGGGTTAACCGACTCCCTAACCCTGAGTCGTCCAATTTGCCCCGCTCGTCTGTGGATTATCCTATTTAAATTCAGTACAGCTTCATCCCAGTCCCTCACCTTACGAGCCGCTGCGCGGACTTTGTTGCAGTAATGCCCTCCTCTGTCCGCCCACTGGTAGTGTTCGACATTGTCTCCGCCCCAGATGCCGCCTACCGTCTTCAGGGCCCGCGCAGTATCGTTTTGGGCCAAGACGGCCCCAGAGTCGTACTCGCGAACCTTGGCGGCCTCAGTATACATGATCTCATTCATACTCTCTTCGATAGCACCCAAGTCCGTCCAAGGAGCAGGCCTTAACGGTTCTGCGGCGTCGACGTTGGCATTAATACGATGGCCCGGATACGCCTTATCAAGAATGGCGTCCACTGCCACGTAACTGGCACCGTTGACGACCTTCGGCCTTGATGTATATTCTCGTTCACCACGACGGGCATCCCCGGGACGAACATGCATCAGCAGCTGCTCGTCGGCGTCGCTGGCCAGCTCCTGGGTCGGGTCCAGGTGCGCAGCCCAGTCCTTGCGCGCGACCGCGGCGCTGGACCCGTGCTCAACGTCGTTAAGCGTCATGACGCGGTCGAAGAAGTTTTGTAGCGCGGGCGTAACGTCATCCGAGTGGTCGTACCCAGCCCCATCGCCGTTGTGGTGGTTGTGGCCGCCGTGCTCGTCATGCTAGTGATGTGGCATTTTATACTATCTTAAACCAGGAGATTCCTGCCCGTAGCACGTAGAGGTTGCTGCTGGTTTTGAGGGGTCTTCCTGGGCCAGCGCCGGCGAGCTTAACACCAATGGCCTAGCTGCCGCGCTTCGGGCTCGTTTAGCTTCCCCGCGCCCCACTTTAATTCCACAAACCTCCGCCACCTTGTGGTCTAAACCGGCACACCCAGGGGCCTAACAAATTAAACCCGGGGGCACACGGGGGTCGGGCCGTATTCCAGCGCTCCTTGTTGGTGAGCGGGCGATCGGCAGTAGGGTACGTAAAAGCGCCAGGGCGCTGTAAGCGCAGCGGGTGGTAGAAAAAGCGTTCGGCCGGTAGTTGTACCGGGAAAAGCAAGGCCGGGTTTGAGCGAGAGGGACCATCAGTCCACCCCTGGGCCCGGCCAAAGAGAGATTCGGGGGCTGGAGGGCCTAGTTCCAACCTGGTGTTCCTTGTGCGTTTAGTCGCGTGTTCGAACGATAGGCTGCGCGTGTTTGCAAGCGTAGTGCAAAGCGGATCAACACAGGTGCTGGCAAACAGAGCCGCGCGGAGATCTTGCGCGTGCGACGCAAATGCAGAGCAAATTGATGCAAATACGGCAAACAGGCGCGTGCGGTCAGGCAGATCTTGCGCGTGCGTGCTTATGCAGGCCAATCTTGCGCTGTGCGTGTCGTTGGGGAGCGGTCGACCGAGGAGTCGCGAGGTGGCAGGGGACGGCGGCGGCCGGTACCGGCTTGTTCGTCCAAGTATCTAACTGCATACCGGCCAGCAGGTTAATTGCAGGACACTGCTGGGGTCGGGCAACAATCCCAGGCGTGGTGTCTAACTTGCCTGCGATCGGGAGCCGCAACCCCGCTTTTAGTGTCTTGCAGGGCTCGCTGCCGCTCAATGCCAACTGCTGGGTGGATTTTTCGTGCGGGGCTGGATCCACATGCAAAACCGACGCGAAATAGCATAACCCAACCACAGCCACGCTTTCACAAGGCGCACAGACTGACAATACCAGCCTGGTCGCGTTGGCGAACACGGGCCATCCAGCAGGCTACAGCCTCAGACCGCGTCGAAGCACGAAAACACGCGTCTGCGAAATGCTTTCAACCGTGTCATAAAGACAGAAAAACGGAGGCAAAACGGTTTGGCAAAAAAAATCCCACTTCCCTTTCAGAGTAATCAATTGAGTCCGCTAACAAATTACGCGCAGGCGCCTCCATGTTTTAACCCCCTTTAAAAACCGAGGCTGCGAAGCTGATGCGGACATTAATCCGACCTCGAACGCTCTGTCCGTCATGCTCACTGCCGATGGTTTGCAAAACCTACTGGGTTTGTCGGGATGCTTGCAGCTGCAACCTTCGACGCGTATCCCCCCAATCACGGTACTCAGGAATGGTAAAACCACCGCAGACGCCGGCTTCCTACAGCAACTATTAGGCGCTTGGAGACACATCACTTCATTTGCAATCCGGTGCTCTTATGTGCTTAAAGCCGCAGTTCACGGAATCTGTACACACTTGCTTCTTCAACTCCCAAAAAAGCGAGTCTGCAAAAGTTTGCAGACTGGGTGGGTCTGGACACTAAATTGAAGGTAGTGGTCTTTTCATTGGGGACAAGGTGGAGCGGCTGGCGCTATAACGTAGTGCGCATATACCGTGCGCATATACTTTGAGCTTGCTATCAAAGGTACCTAGGTAGGTCGAATTGCAGGTGTAGACGTGAGCAACATAACGTCAAACTGCATATCGAACATGATAGTGGAAGGAGGACGTCGTCGGTCTGGCTGGCGAGAATGCGGTGTGTTTTGCAGAGTTCTGACATGCGCGCGGTGCGGCCGCTGTGTTCCTGCTTTCCGGTGGGGATGTATCCATGTGCCCCGTTCAAGATGTCGCAGCGCTGATGGATCCCGATGCTGCGGCGCGCCCTGCTCCGCTTCATAGCCGCAAGTGGAAAGTGGCCGGAGAGAGTGTGCCAGCAAGGGAGGCAGCAGCAACATCAGCTCCGGTGCCACCGTCGGTCAACAGCCGTCCACCCTGTCGTCCGGAACACAGTCAACCGGCGATCAGGATCCCACAGACGACTTTTGAGGGCCTCCTCGCGTCCGCCCTCCTGAGCCGGCGGTGGAAGCGACAGCAACAACAGGCACGTGCTGCTCTGCTTGGACACAGCAGCGTGGCGTACATGCGGGGCTAGACGGTGCGGCGGCTCCAGTGCGGCTGCCAGGTCGAAGCCACCCACGTCCGCCAGCGACGCCGAGCTGAACCCAGCAGTACCGCGGCACGCAGACCCCGTGTGGAACTGCTTCATGGCTGGCTGTTCGACCGCGTGGGGACGCTGTAGAACATAACGGACAGGGACATCGACGGCCTCGCGGCGATGGCGATGGAGGAGTGGCGGATCGTCGCAGCGGGGACATTTGTCAAGGATGGCCGCCCGCCGCGGGCAGGTAGGGCGGTGGTGTGGAGTCAGCCTCGGGCTGGAAGGTGTGCTGGGGCGTGACTGTACCGGCAATGTCGGTCGTTATTGGATCGCAGTGAAAAACACGGCCTCTTCTGGACCGCACCGAACACCAGCTCCCCGCTCGTCTCCACTTGGTTGATAGGTTGCGAGGGAGAGCGTCCACAGCCTGCCGATCATGATCCCATGCGATCCAAACTTCAGTGTCCGGGAACTCGGCTAGCCGTTCCGACGTAGTGGGTGGATTTGTTGCTGCACTTACCAAGGATGTCTGTGGAATCCTTTTGCGAAGCCGCGGTCGGCTAGACAAGTTGTCGAGGACGTTTAGGTCGACCTCGTCCATTCTGTCCACTCTCGCTATGGCGCCATGCCTGCCCGACATGCAACACTCGACTGACCCGAGCGGTTTCCCATCACCAAGCGCTGTGGAAAGCGGACAAGACAATAGCTGAGCCCTCACCGACGTGTCCTCGGTTGCTTGCTTGTGTCCCTCCAGTGTCTGGCGTTCGAGACGAGTTGATTGGGGAGCCTATCGGCTCCGCTCTAAAATAGTGCCCTGATGTTTAGCCAGCACGATTTTGGTAGCAGCCACACCAAAAATCGGCTGGAGAGTTACGTGACTGCTGAAACAACTGCGGCAGCGGTTCTAAAGGCCCCGACAGCTGCCGACTTGCGCCCTCTTAAACTCCTTGTCCGCGACCTGCATCTGGCCCAGCTCGAGCGCTGGACGCGAAGGGGCGTCTGCGGCGAGACACGGCGGCGTGCCGAGGCGTTGTACCGTGAGATAAGAGAGACGGAGACGAGGCCGGGGACCATGCGGGTGGTCGTCGTCCGTTTTCCGAGCTTCCCCTCCACGAACTCCAAGAACTACCACCAACAATACAACTTTTCGGGGGCCTTTAATATGGCACATGTTGTACGCGCAGCGCTGAGACGACCCTTGGTTGCGTACCTTAAAGCCTCCTCTGTACCTCGGTCGTCCTCGTCTTGATAGACCCAGCGGAGGCCGCATCCCTACGTAGTCAACAATCCCGATCGTGGAGCTAGCCGCCCCGACGTTTCTTCGCTCATTGCGGAGCGGGTAAGACACTTGCTCTATTATGTAGTCGACCCTGGAGGCTTGTTTCTAGTCACCCGGAAACGCCCGGACTGTCCAGCACCCCGCAACGCTATCTACCAGCTACTGCTTTACTGGCCTCTCCAAGGATTTCCTTCATTCGCGTATACAATCTGCTGTCCTCGTTCTCCCACCTTCTCCCGTTTGGAAACACAACTTTGCGCAACCTGTTGACCCAGGGTACCATCGGTTTGTAATACGGCGTAAAGTACTCCTCCGCTGCTTTAATAAAGTCCCCCTCATCAGAAATCTCCCCTTTCTTTAGCCGTGTCAGCTCCTCCGTGTTAGCGTAGTTCCACTTGTCAAACTGGGCAACAACTGTGCCCTTGCCAGGGCCATCGCAGTGGATGCATATCCAGAACAGCACCCAGAAGAATGACTCGAGGTCGTGCATAAACGAGTGCTGCTCGCCTAAAAGGGCCCCAATGGCCATAAAGGCCCTTGTCCCGGTCTTCCCCTTGGCCCCCGAGGCGCTGATACGTTGCTCCTTAACGGCGAGATCCAAGTCGATCAAAAACCCGCCGTTGTCCTTGCTTACCATGAGATTACCGATGGAGATGTCTCGGTGAAGGAGGCCGGCCTCCTGCCGCAACGACTCGTGCCCTTCAATGCAATCGGCCAACGCAGCGAGTAGCGCCTCTCGAGAGCCCGCTTCGTAAACGGGGATCCCCCAGTCGGAAAGGATGACGCGCCGGTGGATTCGATTTGGTAGCGCATCGCTGCCAGCCTTGGTCGGAGATGTAGAACAGGGTCGCTTGCTTGGCGGCAAGAAAGCACCAGTTTCGTAAGACGACCGCTTCGCGCCGGCGATGCTGCTGCTTCGGCCGACACGCGACGGACCTGCCGTGCTTGTGCTTGGTGAACGTCGCGATGTATTCTGCCGGTAGTTCGCGGCCTTCGTGACATCCAATGCCTTCCGGACATTGTTTCGGACATCGTCATCTATATTCCATACCCGAACAGTTTCGTGGTGATAATACCGGGCCACATGAACCGCACCCTTGCTAGTTGCTTCACGGAGCAACCCGCCCTCCTCATCGCGCTCCACGTATTGCCATGAATCTTTGACAACAAACAGGGCATCCGGGTCTTCTTCGCGGTACGCTTTCCAGCAGGTTGTTGCTCGGCCAGCGATGCAGCGTGCACGATTCATTAACCCATCGAGGATGAGCCGCTCGGTCGTACCCTCTCGTTCAATCTCAATGAATCGTTGGCCCTTTGCCGTCATGATCGTCGGGTCGAACCCAAGCTCTTCCTCGCTCATCCAAAGGAAACCGAGGATCGTAGACACGAACCGCAGCCCATCCTTGTTAATGTCGAATTGTTCCGAGGCAATGCCCCCAAGCCGATCAAACACCCATATCCTCATGAGAGATCCGCAGAGGGTGAAGCCCAAGACGAAGCGACGGGTGTCCTGAGTGGCAAGCACTTCCCTAGCGTACCTGCCGAGATCGAGCCGCGCTTCTGAAGGTCTATCGGCGGATGGGTTGCTCTTCAGCTCGCCGGGCACGAGGATCCGGCTCCAGTGGCACCTCGAGTCTTTCCCAGCGCTCGGGTCGTCCACAAAGCCGATATCCATCTTCCGTTTCCCAACAGAGCCGGCAATTGGCTCGTTAGGCTTCGCTAGCGGTCTTCGTTTGTGTGCCGGAGCGGAGTTATAGCTCTTCGCAAACGCCGCTAGCTTCTCGGCGAAGTCCGCAAACCAGCTTAGCACATCATCCTGCTTCGCTTCTTCGGGCCAACCCCTCCAGCCGTTTTTGAAGAGCGGGTTGCTGCCTCCCAAACAGTCCTCGAAGAACGTCTCGGATGCGGTCTCCAGGTTTGGCACATCGCCAAAGTACGTCTTGTAAAGGTCCCGGAGCCCGACATACATGGGGCCAAGCTCCTCCTTGAGTACATTGTCGATATATTCGTGGTGTTCGGAGGAATTGGCGAAGCTGCTGGTGTTGCGCAGCCATGGGGTCTGCTGAAGGGAGGAGGCTATCGGTCGGGGAGGCGGGGTGGATTCGGTGACGGCGTCATAGACTCGGTCCCAGATGAGGGCATCGCGTAGATGGTCGGCGAGGACTGCGTTTAGGAGAGGCTTGATGCGGTCGAGGTCGAAGTCGTCGGAGTTAACGGCGGAATTGAGTCTTGACAAATCGCTGAAGAGGTTCTTGCTACTGCCGCTAGAATGGAGTAGACGGGAGGCCCGGAGGCCTTGCAATGCTGAAAGAAGGTCAAGGGCGATATTCCGGACATCTGTATGCTGGTCAGAAAAGCATGCGTTATTGAAGTTGTGCTGACCCTACCTTCGAGGTCGAGTTGGCCAAGCGCGTCGAGTGTGCACGGAATTCCCCTGTCTGCGCAGACCGTATCGAAAGAAGCGCAGAAGGAATCAAGGCCGTTCCCGATGGGATTATCTTCGATGATTTTCGACCGCGGTTGGTCTGCCATTGCGGACGGCGTGCTCTCGATGTGAAGTGGAAATCCGGCTCGACCCGCCCGTCAAATTTACATGACCGCCGGAGCGCGCATCAAGTCGAACTGATTGCCCCTTGCCGCGCTCAATCAGTTCGACTGCTGTTTCGTCCGTGCGCCCGTCCCCACCGGCCGCTCCTGATTGGCCGCCTCAATCAGTTCGACTCGAACTGCGAGGGGCATAACAGTAAGGGGCATAACAGCAAGGCTTAATTTAGCGGAGCAAAAGATAACATATTTCCGTTACAAATAATTTTCCAACTTAAGTTTCCATGTTTATTCCCCTCCTCCGTTTGCCTGCATGCAATCTACTTCCTCCAACCTAAAACCTTTTCTATTCCGTAAACTCGACAATTTGCGCCTCGATCCTGGCCAGCGCATCCAGGTCCTCGTTCTCCTTCTTCATGGCAAGCACGCGCTGGCGGTAGGCCGGGTTGGTTAGCACCTCGTCGACGCCGTCGCGCACCTGCTCGGGCGTAGGCGTCGATGTGGCCAGGTTATAGCCGACGCCGGCGCATTGGATCCGCATCGACATTTCCGCCTTGTCCTCGTTCTGGCCGGCGGCGACGAGCGGAACGCCAGCCATAATGCTTTGCTGCACGCCGCCGTAACCCGCATTGTGCACGAAAACGTCGGCCCGCGCCAGCAGCGCCTGGTACGGGAAGTAGTCCAGCACGCGCGCGTTGGCCGGGACCTTAATGTCGGCCGGCAGCGACGCACCCTTGATCCCCAGCAGCGCCACCACAAACAGGTCCTCGCGCCCCGCCAGTCCCCGCAGCGTCGGCGCAAGCAGCTCGTGTGGGGACGTCGACACCGTGCCCTGCGCCACCGCCACCACCTTTTTACCGTTCAGTTCCGGCCACCACGCTGGGTACTCCAAATCCGCCGGCACGGGCCGCGCCGGCAGCGCCCCGATAAAGCGGATCGACGGCGCCAGGTCCGACCGCTCGTACTCAATAGAGGGCGAGCACGTCTGCAGCGTCACGTCGGCCGCCGTCATCCAATCGTTAAGGATCCAGCCCTTAGGGTCGCGCGTCGCGCCCAAACCCCGCAGCAACTGCGCGCGCTCCTCCATTAGGTCGGCGAACTTTTCCTCGTACATTTTGTTAAGCAGCGCGTTGCGGAGCCGGCCCGAAGGCGTCGAGTCGGGCGGCAGGCCCGGCCCGATGGGCGCCGTGTCAATCGAGTGGATGAGCATCGGCGCGATGCTGAACCCGACGCTGCGCGGCATGCGGTCGTACCCGCGCGGCAGCGGCGCGCCGTGCCTGAACGCCTCGGCGCCCAGGAAAAACACCTCGAGCAGCAGTATAACCTGCCGCCCCGGCTGCGTCGCTGCCAGGTGCTCCAGGTGCCGTTTCAGCGCCTCGTGGCACGCCGGTATGGTATTCAGGAAGATGTTGCGCACGATGTACTTCATGATCGCCGTGTAGGTCGGCGCGGCGCCTTCGCGCTCGACAGCGGAGTTGGCCGCCGCCGAGGCCCCTTCGCTAACGATTTCGGGGGTCGGAACCAGCTCGGCGCCAGCGCGTTCGACCTGAGAGGCAAACTCTTTGCTAGTGAGGAAGCTGACCGTATACCCGCGCTTGACCAGGGCGGCCACTATCTGGGCCATGGGCAGCGTGTGTCCCGAGGCCGCGGCGGCGCAAACGACGAGGTGGGGCTTCTGCTTAGGCCCGGCGGCCACCTCGCTCCTGGCGCTAACTTGGAGATCGCTGTGGATAGTCATGGTTATGTCGCTGTTGTGTCGCAAGAAACCGGAAGTGAATATAGAATGGAATGGCTGGTGTGCTGGCTTGAGATGATGGCCGGTAATTCATGTTGCAAGCCGATGTCTGCTCTATTTATCATCCAAAGTTGAGATCTCTTGGTCCAAAAGACCCGCCGGCTATCATGTTTTTCCGGCATCCCGGCATCCCGGCATCCCGTCATTCAAACCTTCCGCCGCGTACACCCATGTTTTCTTCTGTACTACTCGCCAACCCCCAAGTTTGATTTGTTGGCGTTGCGTGAACATGAAGCTACCTTCGCTACCTTGAGTTCAGGGCAACACTAACGGTGAATCTCAAGGAATATCGCTGTCCTTCTCGCGTGGAGCTGCCTTTCCCGTGGGTACGGGCGGTCGATCCACCCCTTTCGAGGGCGTGGATATCGGTGACAGGCTACCGGGCTCAACGCTTTACCCGAACCGTTACCCGCGCGGGATTCCTAGTGCTACGTGCGTGGAGCCGTGACTAGGTCTCGCCTTCGAGACTGGGCATTGAGGCTGGCCGAAATCGCCCGCCGAGCTAGGGTGCATCATGGAGCATGAATAATGGCTTGTGGGTCGACACCACAACTGCCGTTTTAGCACTGCTGCTGCTCCTGCTATTCCCGTGGCTTTCTCGCCAGCACGGCTCGGCGCGAGCCAAGGCTACCGAGCATGCACGGTAATTGACACGCTTACTTCTTATCTTTAGGTGGCGACAAGTGCAACTGCGTGCGGCGCACCGTGAGGAACCCCTTTAACCTTTGGCTTGTAGTAGCTGTCGTGCTCGCCTAAAATACTCACGCTGCCGCCTTAACAAGGATTTCGGGGAGCCGGCATCTTATCTTCCCGAGAACCCCGCGAGTTTGGTAGCACGTTCGATAACGCAACCTCTCATACCTGGTTTCGAACCCGCTTTGTAATGTGGTCCTGCTTAGCAATTACCGCCGGTTTTTATCGAAGGGTGTGGTGGGACCCGAGTAGAAACATGGTTGTTGGCGGAAGCGGAAGTTGTTTATTGTCCGTTTTGTTCCGGGCCCGAGTAGGTCTTGCACCAGTGCCGGACTCTGCTTTCGTGCTAGGCTTTACCCGCGCGGGACGAAGCGGAGTTAACGTTACACCGGGTCCTGCGGGAAGGCCCTTGTCACACCGCCACTTCGCGTCGCGAAGCGGCGGGAATAGTAACAGGAAAATAAACCGTGATTTATAATATTTGCAGGTCGAGTCGTTATGTTTTTAATATTAAAAATAATTTCCATTAGTATTTACCGGCTTCGAATATGATTTCAAAAGCCTGGTGTTACGACCGAACTTGTTAGCGGGTCGGGCCCGCGCGGTCAGCCACGGCCTCCGGCCGTGGCGGTGCGCCCTAAGCGGGGTGCGCCACCGCGCCTGCAGAAACGGGCGCCGCGCCCGGAGTTGCTCCGCAACTCTCTCCCTCTTGCAACACCCCGTAGTAAAGTAATATAGTCAAGTCCCTACAAGCGTGCGTTACGTTGCAGGACTCTTACAACACTTTACTACCAAAGAGGTATACGTCGTGAGGTTTGCGCATGTCGCAACCGCCGACCGAAGAGCAGCGAGCCGTCACGTTCTCCGTCCCAGACGAGAGTTCGTCAGGCACGGACGAAGAAGGGACCCCAGCAGCCCAGAGCGCGGGTCCCGCGACCCCTCCGGAGGGCGCGCAATTAGAAGAATTTAGCACGCCCCAGGTAGGACGATTCCCCTCAGAACAGCGATGCTGACCTTGGCGTCGGGCGAGAGCCCCCCGACCCTAACCTCAAACACATCCAACGGCCTGGCCGGGAAGATCAGCACCGTGGCCGCGTGGATGCCGCCGTCGACAAAGACCTCGAAGACGCTGCGGTCCACCACCGCCTGCATCCGCCACGCCGTGCCGTCGTCCCACGCGTCGACGACGGAGAACCTGTTGGCGAAGGAGGCGTCGCCGTCGAACAGCGCGCGCGCGCCCGAGCGGTCGACCCAGAAGGTCGCGTCGCCGCTGAAGCCCATGCCCCAGCGCAGCGCCTCGCCCGTCGACGGCGATGACAGCGAGAAGTTGAGGCGCGCGTCGGGCCCCAGCCTGGCCGCGTTCATCCCCGTCACGTTGGCGTCGATGTAGTACGACCCGGACGATAACTCCTCCCGCCCGAGCTGCGCCATCCGCCTGTCGCCTGGCCCGCCCGCCCCTGCGGCCCCGCCGCCGTCGAAGCTGCAGTTGTCAAGCGGGGGCTGCTGCTGGCCGCCGCCGGCCAGGACCGGCGCCAGCCCGCCGTGCACCTCGTTGACCACGACCAGCCAACGCGCGGCGTCTTGGTCAGGGCGTGGACGTGTGGCAGCGTGAAGCCGCCGCGCCAGCCCTCGAGCTGGCCCGTCGGAACGCACTCGGCGTACCGCCAGTTGGGCGCCCAGCCCACGCCGACGGCGTCAGAGCCCTCGGGCAGGCCGGAGAAGTGCTGCGCGCCGTAGTTGTCCTGCGCAAAGTCGACCACGCGCGCCGCGCCGTCCCACGGCGCAAAATGCGTCCCGTTGAAGTCGCCCGGGAAGTACTCCGTCGACGCTCCGCCGCCCGGCTGCTGCTGCTGCTGCCGCACCGACACCGTCAGCACCCAGGCTTGCTGCTGTCCCCGCCGTCGCCGTCGCGCACCGCCATCCGCACCAGGTCCGGGCTCTCCCACTGTGCGCCCGCCGCCGCGCCGGACCGCGAGAAGTCGGACTCGTGTGTCCAGCGGCGCAGGTCCCGGCTCGTCGCGTGGCCCCAGTGCTGCTGGCCGCCGCCGCCGCCCCTCGGGCTGTGCTGGTAGTAGGCATGCCAGAGCCCCGGGCCGTCGAGGAACAGGCCGCCGGGCCCGCCCATGAAGTCCTGCGGCGCCGAGAGGTGCACCTGCGGCCGCAGCGCGCCCGTGTAGTTGTCCGCCGCGGGGACACCGACCGACCGCGCGGCCGCCGGGGCGTTGCTGGCGTGTTGCTGCTGCTGGTGAGCCCACGCTACCGTGGACGATGGTGACGATGACGCCACCACCGCGATGATGATGATTGCCCGAGTGGCCGAGGCTCAGAGAGATAGCGGCAGCATGCTAGTCGTTAATGGCGAGGTCGTCGACTTCCGCCCCACGCGCGATCGTCGGAGTGGATATGGTGGTGGTGGCAGCCCGAGCAGCTGGTTCCGAGCTGGCTGGGTTGGAAGGGCGCGGTGGGCAGAATGGAGCGAGCAATAGCAGGGCTTCGAGACTGGCACGAGGACACATGGTTAGCAGGCAAGCAAATGGAAAACCTTGCTTGCTCGTAATCCCCCTCTCGCTGCCTCTTCCTTTTCTTTTGGCCGTCCACCACTTGGGACGAACGGTGTCAGTCACCCGTCGGCCGCGGGCCTGGGGGTGCGAGCGTCAAAGCACTGCGGCGGGAAAGATGGGAGGAGCAGCCGCAGTGGACGCAGGCGGCAATGACAAGCTGTGGACTGTTGCGTGGAGGTCTCGGGGCTAGATCGGGGAGGTCCAGGCTGGGCAATCTATCCCGTAAGCTTCATCTAAACTCGAGCCAACTCGTCCTTGGTCCGATGGTGCTAATTCGACTCGGTGCAGAATGCATGTCACGACGTTGGGAGCCAGCGGCCATCCCATCAAAGCGTCCAGCTTTCCACAGTAAGAATCGCGCTTAAGCGCATTTTTATCGGCTACATTATTAAAGGATGTTGGGTTTAACCCTACGAAAATTGGTGGTCGATGGGTAAATGCCCGAGACCGATAAGCTGGTTGTATTTTGTTAAAACCCTATCCATGCCTGGCTGCTTACCGAAAAGCACAAGCAATGCTTGCGGAAGCGGGGAAGCTTTAAAAGGCCGGTTCGGTTCGTTCCACGTTAGTTCCCAGCATATTTCCATAGCAAGCCTATCCGTTAACAAAAAAAAATTACAATTTGGCGGTTATTGCTATATTTAACGAGCGCCATTTTTATCGAAAACGCTACTTAAAATACGGCGTTCCAAAGTACGCTAATTTTTGCGGGCGCAATATACCCGCAACAATTTACGAACCCGAAAGATATACGCTACGGGCTCGCCGGCATTATAAAGGTCCTAAAACGGCACATCCCGCACCGCGTATTTTGCTGGGCCCTGCCATGCCACGTTTTTGACCGAGCTATATTATAGCACCCCAGCCAAGGTTACAAGCTCGATAAGCGCCCCCGAAATAACGGGCTACGCGAAAAAAAGACCTGCGCTAACGGCATACCGATAAGGCCATCCTTAAGCATGACGGCAAGCGCGAGGCCGGGGCTTTAATCTCGCGCTCGTACAAATACGGGAAAGTTTAAGCAAAAAAACGTTTGGGAATATGAAAAAGGGGCATTTAAAACTATCGCTTAGGTTTTTTTAATAAAAACAAAGCGGGCAGGTTAAATATAAATGGAAGGATTTGGAAAGCAGCGCTAAACGAGTAAATAAGTTGTTGCATAAATAGCAAGCCCTTACGTTTCGAATGTTTTTAAAAACGGGGGGCGTAATTGCAACCAACAAAAGTTTTTTTTAATATTCCCTTTAGGTTTTTTTTCGTTTTTCCTAACGTTACGCCTATTTTACTCCTCGCCCAAGCTATAATAGCGGGCCACGATTTTAGCCGTCTTTTCGTCGAGCTTTGGAACGCTACGCGGGCGGCAACGGGCGCCGCCTTCGTTATCCAAAGTGATAAGGCGAGGAGGCGGCGACGCCGGTCTCGGCCTGGGCTTCGGAGCAGGTCGCGGGCCTGGGTCGCGGCGGGCTTCGAGGACGTGCGAAACGGCGAAATCCCCAGGAGCGTTTGGCGCCGGGCTAGGTATAGCCAGGGCGCCAGCCAAGGGGATAGGGAGAAGAAATTTGGCGTGCATTTTGGGCAGGCTTTTAAAAACGAGCAAAGTAATGACAAGAACGAGTTTGATGCAAGCAAAAAGGGGAGGTCGAAAAAAGATATAAAGGGAAAAATAGCAAAAATAAAATAAAAAACAATAGGAAATGATAAGCTAGGTAAAAATAAAAAACAATTAATAAGGTATAAGGAAAAAAAGGAAAACGAAAACCAATTGCTAAAAGGAATCGGGCAATTATATATTCGCCTGTCCAAACCGGCGCTGGCAACGATTGTTTTTTTTGGACTTTATCGATAATACCGGCCTTTGCTAGGCGGCGACGGCGATGGCCGAACATTACGAATCGCAACAATAGCAATAGCATGGATTATACCGCCAGGCTTTTTTTGCACGGGTGGCAGCGGCAGTGCAACGCCGTGCTTAATCGATAAATGGCGCACTAAAAGCCGCGTAATCGGCGTGCATGCCCGTCCTTTTTTTGGGTTAGGGCGGCACGCATTAAAAACTTTAAGGATTTTATTGCGTAATAAGGGTTGCCTTATGTAGCAGCAGCCCAGCTAACCCTTTTTTTCCTTCCATAACCACCCATGGGGGTGGTTAGGCTGGCAAAAATACACGTCCACAGGTTGGGTGGGAGGAGGCCGGCGAGCCTTGCAAGCGGATAGGTAGGTAGGTACCTGGGGGCAGCTCTTCGGCGCTGGTAGGGGGAAAACAAAAAGAAGGCCATCCTCGACGTACTGGGCTGGATCGTGGCGAATTCCATTCTCGGCAACAAAGGCGGGCAAAAAGGGACCCTGGGTAGATATTTGCTGGCCAGTCTGGGGATCGCGGTATTTTCTCGGAGGCTTTCTGCAGATTCGAGGGGCCTCGGACACTTGGGTCGTCGTATCGTCGGAGATTTTCCCTGCCATGATTGCCGTGGCTGCGTCGGGCAGTTTCTCTCTTTGGCAAATTTGCATAAGTGGATGGACGGGTGCAAAGCCGCCCATGCCCAAGTGGGCTGTTCCGCCCCCGGACACGTTAAGCGCTCGTTCGATTTTATTTAGGTAATCGCCCTGTCGACCCGAGTCATTCTGCGCCTCTGGTCGCAATGGAGCGGGCATCAAGGGGTGTTCTAGGCCACGGACCGGCTGGTCGAAAGGGAGAGAAACAGTGGCGGGCGACCTTTGGTTGGTCTCTATTCTCCCAAAGGGGACCCGCTTTCTTGTAGGGACCATTCACTTCATCAAGGGGCTGAGCGAGACATGGACCCCGTCTGTCCGCTAGGGCAGTGGCTATGTATTACTACAGGGAACTACGAGGGTGGTCAAACAAGAGAGGGGTCTGGATTGCCTGGATTCCGGGCAGTGAAAATCAAGCAAGCAAGCCAGCTAAATCGCCTGCCGGTACTGTGCCAGCAAGTCCTTGTCGTCTTTAAACGGCTTGGCCCCCATGTGCTCCCAGGCACCGTCCGCCATGAGGGCGACATCTTTCTCCTTGGTGTGCCAGAGGAACTCCGTCTCCTCGTCCCCGAAGTGCATTATTGATTTGTCCTGAGAAAGGTACCATTGTTTGTTAGCTTCCTGTTTTCCCCCATCCCGGCTTCTTAGGGCTGGCGGAAGTGGAACGCCTGACGAAAGACGCTTACCAGCCCAAGGGTCAACTTGATCATGGCGTCCGCCCAATGCGCATCATACATCACGCTTGGCTCCTCGCCGCTGATAGCCAGGCCGATGTTGTACCCGACGACCATACCCTGCATCATGGCCGCCCGGCCATTAGGATTTTTCATGCCCGTGTCGGCCACGTCGCCACAGGCATAGATGTTAGGCAGGGACTCGTCCCCGATTTGCAGGGTTGGCTTGACGCGGATGTGGCCAGACTCCAAGATGGCGGCGGGTGAAAGTTCGGCGATGATATGTGACGAAGGCCGCTGGCCTACACAACTAACCTTGATATTGGGAAGCATTTGATGTCAGTTATTCTTTTGGGGGCAAACTCCCGACTGTTGGATTCCCCGGCGAGGCGGGCGGGCGGGCGTGGAAATGCTCTTACATAAAGGTCGCACTCGATCTTCGTTCCCGACCGCAGCGTCACCAAACGGCCTTGGGCGTCGACGGCGGCGCGCTCGTTCAGGAGGACCTCGACCCCGAGGTCCTCGAGCCCCTTGAGCGCGGCGGCCTGCAGCTCCGGGCCGAACCTGTGCATGACGGCGGGCCTCGAGTGGACGAGCATGACGTGCTTGTCCGGGTACTTGTGCTTGGCGTCGGTCGCGAGCTCCACGCCGGCGGCGCCACCCCCGACGACCACAATCCGCTTGGCGCCCGCGATCCGCCGCTGCATAGACCGGATGCGTTCCAGACCCTCCTCCTTGCGCGGGGACGGGACCCGCGACGGCAGCCCGTCGCCGGCGCTGGCGCCAGTGGCGACGACCAGGTAGGCGTAAGGGATGACCTCGCCGTCGTCCCCCTCGAGGCGGACGGCGTCGCGGGAGACGGAGGTGACCCCGCCCGTGACCCACCTCAGGCGGCCCCGGACCGCGCCCTTGAGGTGAGAGCCGTATGGGATCAGCGCCTTGTGCTCGTGGCCCTCGACAACGCACACGCGCGGGAGGATCCAGGTGAAGTGGAAGTGGCTGCTCGGCTCGATCACCACGACCCTGTAGGGGCTGTCCTCTGGCAGCGACGTGGCTATCACCCGTGCGGCCTCGTAGCCCGCGAACGAGGCGCCGACGATGACGATGTTCCTGGGCGACTCCTTGTCCGGACGCTTGCTGAGCTGCTGCTGATGCTTGAGCACTCGCTTTACGGCGACCGCTTGCTTGAGCATGCTGATTCTCGAGCCGAGCATGTAGATGAAGAACCTCAGCATCAAGCCGGCCTTGGCCAGCGCCGTGGGAGCCATTTTTTCTTCTGCGCGTGCGAGGCGGGACTTCGCGATTTAACCTTTTCGTCTATGTCGTTACTGCTGGAGAGGGTCGTGTTGAGATGGACAAGCGCTTGTCCCTTATTTCTTTTTTTCCTTCCTTATCCGGAAATTCCAGTACGAGCCGGTCGAGTAGGCTGCGTGACCGAGATGACCCTGCAGATGAGAGGAGCTAGAGGCCCTTGGGAAAAGGACCACGTTGGGTTTGGAGGCTGGGAGAGGTGTGCCAGTGAAATATTTATCTGATGATCAGATTAGATCGGTGATAAGGTGGTCCGCGCCACAAAAATGATTGCGCGCAAAAGATTTTTTCTATATTCACCGCCGGCTCGTGGATAACGAATCATGTTCTTGCTTTCTTCGGACGCCGGGTTTGTCGGAGTCCGACAAGGACGCCGAAATCGCCGAGCGGCAGAGGGTTGCTCCGCTCTATTGCCCGAGCGCAGGGTATTGCGCTAATCGTCCCAACCGTCATGCCTTCGACTTAGCGCTGGTGGCGCTTGTGGGCGGAGATCGCACATGTCTCTTGTCCGAGGCCGGGCAGGGGTGGGGTACCTGGTGTCAATCGCGTCATTAACCATCAGCACCGCCGACATTTCCTGGTGAGAAGGTAAGGGGCATTCTGCTAGGGCGGTCCCCTCCGGTTTTCGGTCTTCTCACAGACATGAGCCGAGCAGGAACCAGTGCCCCCATTTGAGCGTCGACCAAGGTGATGCTCCAATCGCTCGGCGTCGCAAATCGAAATCGCCGAGTAGAACTTCCCGGTGCCAATCATGTAACGAACACCGTCTGGATTCCATTTTCGAAAGCGGGGGTGATCCTTTGCCTCAATTATTACAGAAAGAACGTTGACGGTTACAGAATGGTTGTCAACTATGTAACATATGTACGTCCTGCCGCGGGTCGCAGTCCGCTCTAGACCACGCTTGGTCCAGTGCCCTGTCCTCTGCTGGCACCTTCCTTCTATGGGTAAAGTAAGAAGATGTCACTTTCCGGTAAGGTCCTTCTCCAGGCTATAAACTTTCTGTGCCTCATCTATTTCCAGGGGCGGTCGACCTCTGCGTCTGACGATGGCACACCAGGTCTGCCTCTGGCCGCGTAGGCGGCGGGGACCTGATTACCTGTTGGGAGTCACGTGTGATCCACACGTGCCCCGCAGTCGTAGGCCTAGGCAACGCCCCTAGTTTTCTCGCCCTAGAGGGCTCAGGTGGCAGACACCACCTTGATCAATACACACAACCTTTTCCCGGTGCATTTTGTCTGCACCGACCACATTACCTCTCCCTAACCGAGCATGAGCAAGGATCAACGAGGACGAGTGCATATTCATGGCAAGGGATATGCGCGTGTGCGCACATGCCTGGGTGCGTACAAGCAGTACGAATGTGCGGAAATACGGCTTGCATGGCAAGTATTTACGTCGTTGCAATGAAAGAGAGAGAGAGAGTATATTTAACGTCAGTAAGTCGGGATCTACCAGTCCCTGCTTCCCAGGGGGCATATAACGTGCTAGCGCTACTTAAGCTTAACACTAGGCTACATGTTGCTATCGAAGCGGCTAACAAATTAAGCCCGAAGGCACGGAAATCGGGCCGCATTCCGGCGCTCCTCAATAGTAAGCGGGCAATTGGCAGTAAGGCGAATATCGCCGGGGCGCTATGGGCGCAACTGTTGGTGGTAAAGAAAGCAATCGGCCGGCAAAGTGCCGGGAAAAAGTAATAAGGCCGGGTAAAGGCGGGGGGGTCTTCGGGACCCCCCCTGGGCCCGGCCAAAAAAAGATAATTCGGGGGCTGGAAGGCCAAATTCCAGCCTGGTGTGCTCCTTGTGCGTTTTGTCGCGTGGATAATAGGTTGCGCGGTTTGCTAACGTGGTGCAGGTCGGGCTTTTACGGTTACGCTAGCAAATAAAGCCGCAACAAAACCTTGCGCGTACGATGCCACTTATATTTTAATATAGCCCGGCGTAGCAATAAATAAAAGCGCGTGCAGTTAAGCAAATTTTGCGCGTACGTGCTTAGCAAGCAATGCGTGCTGGGCAAGCCAATTTTGCGCCGTACGTATCGTTGGGTGCGGTTAACCGAAAAGGAATTGCGTAAGGCTGCAACCGATAAAAAATCGCGAAAATAACGGGAAACGGCGGCGGCCGGGCCAATTATTCGTTTAATGTATTTTAATTGCTTGCCGGTTTGCAGTTTTTTTGTGCGTTTATCGTTTTGTTGCGTATTGTATACCCGCAAAGCGAAAGCGAAAAGAAATTAAAAAGCGGTTTAATAATGCGCGGATATTGAAGCATTTAATTGTTAAAATTTTGGCGCGCGCGAAGCGCGCGCTTTGGGCAATAAGGTATAGGCTTTCCTTTTAACTAGCAATAAGTACCGCCATATTTTTGCCAGCCATTTTTTGCTTTTTTGGCCTACCTCGGCGGCCTGCTCGTTGGTAACGTCGCGCTTGTGCCCGTAGTTTTTACCAGCCCCCTCAGCCGGGAACCGCCAAGGGGACAAGCTTGGGGGCAGGGGCAGTTTAGAGACGGGCTGTATCCCTGCGCGCCCGCGCTTGCCAAGGGCGGCGTCGTCGCTGCCCTCGGCACCCGTGGCGGACGGGTGGTTCGGCAGAAGGATGGGCTCGCGCGTCTCGAGGGTGCCCGCGCCGTTGGGCTGGACGGGGGCGGCCATGGCCAGGCCGGCGAGGAAGATGGCGGACCACAGCTGCATGGTGACCGGGGAGAAAAAGAAGAAAAAAAGACAAAAGGAAAAGATAAAAAGAAAAGACAAAAAGAAAAGACAAAAGGAAAAGACAAAAGGAAAAGACCAAAAAAAAGGAAGACTGGGTAGAGATCGCTGGTGGGCTGATGAAGCAGGAACAATTAGACCATCGAAGCAAGCGGGAGACTGTGCTTATATACATCTTTTTCTTTTTTTTCACATCTCTCTTCTCTTGAACAAGCACCGGGAGGTTTGGCGCTTCTGTCAGCGGCATCGTGGGTTCCGCAGGGGTTGTTGCAGATTGCCTCTTTTGGCATTGCTATTTCCGGTGAACGGTAACCCTTGCTCCAGCAAACGCTTTTGGAAAAAGTAGGGCGATTGACGTCGGGGGCGTTTATGCGTCTGCTGCAACGGCTGGGGTCTGGGGGACAGGGCGGGCCCGCGCCCCAGGTGCGAAAAATAGCAGGCCCCGGAAAGCGGTGCAATCAAACAGCCATGCCACGCTTCGGAAGGGGTATGTAATGTGATGGGCAGAACCCTAAATGGGCTGGGACGAGTCATTCTGGCTCCATCGCGGGTTGGCCCTGGCATCCGGCCAACCGTTGAATGTCGCCCTCCAAAACGTTGCGAGCCCCGTTGCGCGATGGGCAGACTGAGAAGGGCAAGTCGAGACCAGCCAATACCACCCACGCCGACAGTGTTTGAGACGAATGACTCGGACGAACTGATGCCTGCCAAGAACGGGCGTCCGAGCACTGAGGTCTGGAGGTCTCGCTCGGACATTCCACCAGGCACATCAGGGCTGTCGAAATCGCTGTCGTCCAGGTTGCGCGTTGGGAGGCAGGCTGCAGCGACGGAATTTGACGCCACCACTCCTCAGCAACCGTCTACCTCAGCTCGAAGATGGTGTCGCACAGCATCTTGTCCCTGAAAAAGTCCCACCCGTCCGCCTCGGCCTGCTCCTCCGGCCTCGCCTCGGCTCGCTTCCGCAGCCGCTCGGGCGCCTTTTTCACCTCCGCCCACTCCATCAGCTCTTCCCGCACCTGGTCTATGCCGCCAAAGTGCTTCGGGTGGAGCGGCTCGGGGCTCTTCATGCCGGTCTTGGCCGTGCGGTAGCTCGAGCGGCTGGTGCCGTTGCTGCTGCTGCTGCCGCCGCCGATGAGGGTGCCCCCGCCGCCCGTGTCCCCGTCGTCATCCCCGTCGTTCTCGTCACGCGCTGGCTGGGCCCCCAGGCCGTCGTCGCTGGCCATCAGAGTGGGCTGCCGTAAAACCCCCCTGCTTGACAGGCCCGAGGTCGAGGCTACTGTGGTCCGGCGGGTGGCTATCGGGCACGAGTTCGCAGGCTTGGCGTGATATACCCTAGGATCCATGCGCTTGTCGTGCTCTTCCCACTCCTGCAGCTTCCCCTCGTACGTCGCCTTGCGTTTTTGGTGATACTCTGTGCGCTTGGCGATCTCGTCCTGCACCTCCTTCGCCTTCTTCCTGAGCTCCTCTGGTATCTTGCTCGCCCTCTTCTTCGCGTCTTCAGGCTCGCCCGTTGATGCCTGTTCCTTTTGCTCCTTGCGAAAAAGGGTGAACTGGTCCCATTTTTCGAGTTCCGCCTCTTCAGAGTTCGCCTTGCGAGCCATGGCTTCGCCGTCCATCATGCCATGGATATAGCACTCGCCCAAGAATTCGTAGTAGACGTTGCGTGACACCCTCGGTGATTTTGGAAGGTCGTCAGTCTTGTCCTTCCTTCTGGCGTCCCTCTGTCTACTTGCGTTTCTTTGTGCATTGGTGTGTCCATGATTAATCCCCTTGGATTTCTGGCGGCTCTGGTTATGGGTTCCTGGCTCGTTCGTATTCGCTTTCCTGTCGTAATCCTCCAGCCATTGTCTTACCTGCTGCTTCGTCCATCTTGGCCTCCCGTCGGCTCCTACCCAATTTCCTTTGGGTCTTTCCTTCCAATCCGACTGGCGAAGCTCGGGGATGCCCTTGTATGCGGTTTTGCGCCTCCTGTTGCTCTTCATTGTCGCCATGCCGCGCCTCATTATCTTCTTGACGTCTTGCATCATCTCTTCCTCCCCGCTATTCTCGTCCTGTTCCTCTTGCGATTTTTGCCTCTCGCGAAGTATAACGGGGACGCTGCAGCCGTATAGGATGCACACAAGGTCGCCCTGCCTGACCCCCTTGGCCGCGATGCCGAGGTTCCCTTGGTCCGTCTTCACCATTGATCGGTTCCAGATGACGGCTTGGACGCGCCGGCAGAACTGGGCGACGATGGAGTTGCGCCCGTTGTTGATCAGGTCCGATGTGTTCACGGACCCGCCCCGCAGGCCGCCCTTGTATATGGACTCCTTGCACGCCTGCTTGTAGTAATATGGCGGGTTCCGGCTGTCCCGCCCTCTGTCGGCCACGAGCGTACGCCAAAAGTCGTCTGGAGGTCCCTGTCTTTGGCGGGGTCGCTAAAGTTCAGGACTGTCGAAGCCGTTTTCGTCGAAAATGTTAATATCCGCGTGGATCTCGACGTGGTTCGGAGCGTCCCGAGTCGAATCGTTCGTAATGGCGTCGACGAAATCCCGCAAATGGATAATGCTCGAGAATGTTGGTTGTTTAAACATGTCGAAGGCGCTGATCGTAGGCGTTTCGTGTGTAACGCTCGTGGGAAGCACACCGTGTGGGTGAGGTGCCTGGTAGGTTAAATTTATCCCCTCCCCGAATCTGGCGAGTGGGTGCTCCGGTAAATGAACGAAGACCTAGGCATAGCTATATAAATCAGGTAGGGTGCACGGACGACTAAACTAACTACCGCCCGGGTGACCCGATCACACGAACAGGGGGGAAAATAAACTAACGAGTGCTAAGACGAAGTGATGGATGGACGGACAAACGAACGTGGTCACGTTCAAAATTCGAAGCTGGAGCGATTGGCTTGCGAGGTGATGTGGCTGTTAGCAGGGGAGCGACCGGCGTCCCGGGACAGGGGCTGGCTGCCGGCCGGCGGACAGGGACGGGTCTTGTCTGTGATGCTCCGTGATGCGAATGGAGAAGCGAAGGAGTGGACGAGGGGTTAAAGTACGGGGGAAAGGACAGGGTGCAATGGTGCAGTCGATGCGTTTCGGAGGGAGTATGAGCAAGCTAGGCTGGAAGGCCCTTCTCGACGGCCGCAGGTTGGTGTCCTGGTGCGGACAGCATACGCCGTTAACTTGGCCGAATCCGATGTCGACGCTGCAAATCCGCGCAGAGCCGTTGCCTTGGACGAAGTCGGCCAGACGGATCCAGCTATGGATGCCACCAACGACGCTGTGGACGGGATCCCGGCTGCCGGGTCTGGCGAGGCCGGCGGGGATAATGCTGAGACCGCTCTGGCTCAAGAGGCCGCCGGACGGCATCTGCTGGAAGGATAGAAAAGTCTCGAAGGCCTGAAGTCGGTGAGGCGTATCTGGGGCGAAGACAAGGTTCAATATTACCAGTGGGCGAATCGAGGAGTAGGGTTCTGTAACAAACTGGTAACGGCGGTTCGTGAGGTGAGGGACTGGGACGAAGCTGTAGTAAAGTTGAACAGGTTGATTCACAAACGAGCCCAGCAACTCCGACGACGCAACGTTAACGAATCGGTCAACCCTATCGAGCCGGACGATCTGGTAAATTTGAAAGCCTGGTCTCACAAAGGTCCTTATGTTAAGAAAAACGACCGCGAAGGCATCGCTATGCGTTTCGGGAAGCTAGCCGGTAGGAATTGCTGGCCGGGTTCGGTTTCGACAAATTCGGGCTTCTGGTACGGAAGGAACGGCAACAAGCAGCAAGCGCTCCAAAGGGTTGCGTAAACGTGGAGGTCCGCAACCGGCAGAACACGACACGCACAATACGGAGAATATAGCGCGTGCGGAACTCGGTATTCGAACCTCAGCAGATCTATCTCAGGGCGCACAAATCGGGTTCGAATCGGCGGGGGCGAGCAGTCGGCGAAGGCAAAGGAAAAGGCCAGGTCCTAGCAGCGACGGACCGCGATCGAAACGCGCCAAAATCATCGACTGCAGGGAGAGAGGTAAGAACGATCAGTTGCGAGACCTTGCCAGCGTTTTGTCCTTCTTGGACGAGGAGTTTGCCGAAAAGAGCGACTGTCTCACTCCCGGGCATGGTGCACTCCTATTTCCCATGAGAGAAAGGTGTCGACCGTCCAGGACTTCTACAAGGCGTTCCACGACAAGCGCACGCTTCCGATATACAAATGCATGATCTGCTATCGCAAGTGTGCCAGGGCCGAGCTGGAAGACATTGATTGGGATCAGTGGACGGCCAGTCCTATCGCGAAGTCAGACCGCTCGCCCTTCCAATGTCGCGCATGCTTCCCCGCGGGCGAGAAGATTTCGGGGTGTACAAATTGCCTGAGGCAGATGGGAAGTGGTGTGTTGTCTTTTGCAGGCCAGCTCCACAGCCGCCTGGGTTGCGAGCACATGTTCCCGGACGAGTTAAAGGGCCTTACGCCAGTTGAGGAGAAGCTCATTGCGCTAAACTTGTGTTATGGGTTCATTACCAAGTACAGCCTGCCAGAGGGGCGTAGACAGAGCGCGAGATATCCGAAGCACGTTAAGGGGCACATCACAGTATTCCCCAACAACATACAGGACCTCGTCAGCAATGTTCTCCCCCACCCGCTGGTAAAGGTGATGGGTGAGATCCACGTCTTTTGGCAGGGGCCCGAGAAACCGGCACCGGGTGACCTATCGGCAATCCTGTCGGTGAGGCGCCGTGTCGTTGAAAGAGCGCTGGTGTGGCTGAAAAGGAATAACCCGCTGTACGCGAAGATCCACATCGACACGGCCGAGATGGACACCTGGGAAGCGCCGCCGCACGGTGTGCCCTTTCAAATCTACGCGCGTCTGGAGCGGAACAAGCCGTCGGCGTGGGAAAAGGCACGAACGGGACAGGTCGTGCCACCTACGGAGCGCGGCCTAGAAGCAGGGGAACCGAGGGATGTCCGAGAGGTTCTTGCAGCGCTAAAGCTGGGAATCGATATCGGAGGCGGCGGCGAGGCGTGTGTTGGCGGGGGAGCAAACTCGAAGGGCGAAAACGGGGGCGAGGAGGCGGTGGTAAAGCCGGAACGTGCAGTGGCTGCGATCCACGAAATCAGTTCGTCTGGGATGTTCGCTCTCGATGTGGGACCGGATGTTGCCGACGCTGAGAAGCTGCGGTACGTTTGCGATGCGCTGGGTCGCCGGGCCGCTGGCGGGAACAAGTCGATCGGGGCAACCTGGGTGGGATCGAGCGAGGGGCGGCGGGCTGGAAAAGCGTCCGAACCGTATATCGGAGTATCCCGCGGGGAAGACTTTGCCGACTCGCTGGACGCGCGGTTCTTCGCTAAAACCTTCCCGACATTGTTTCCGACGGGACGCGGAGGCCCGCGACAGGTGGAAGAGCGTGTCGAGGAAAAAGGGACAGGAGGAAGCGCGCACGCGGCCACGGCACGGGGTCTTATAGCGTCGCGGAACATAAGCTTAAAAAAGTGGGCCAGGATGGTGCTATAACGACACGGCGGTCGCTTCGCGACGCATCACGTTTTCGCATTTCTCGTTTTCAACATAGGGGTCAAATCGAAAAATCGTCGGGTAAGCATGCTCAGCGTAACGCGGCGAAATTTCGCCGACGTGGAGCGGCTCGTGTGGTCACTAAGCCCAAAGGGACTGGAAAAGGCCAAGGCTAAGCTGGAGGCATCGGGAAAGACGGTTGACGAGGGGGTGAAGCAGCTGCTAAGGTGTCTGTCGCTCTACGGGTTCCGCCAGCTGATGTCCAGGGAGAGCCGGCTCAGCATGCGGCGGAAGATTCTGTCCCTCATCATCCGTTACGGCATCCCGGCGATCTGGTTCACACTCAGCCCGAACGACCTGACAAATCCGGTAAGATAGGTCACCCCCTGTCGGCCACCACCTCCCCTGTCGGCCACCCCGCTCCCATATTAAATTTACAAAATGCTACTGTTTTGCAACGCAATTATAAATCGGATAAAAATGGTAAAAGTAATAAGGATAACGTGGTTCACCACCGAGTGGATCACCCTCACCGAGTGGATCACTCCAAATCCCATACTAAACGCGGTTTTTTTTAATTAAATAACTCGCCCAATTTATAATTAAACCTTACCAAATTTTAATACATTATATTTAAGTATGTAGTCGATTTTATAATGAATTAGTGATATTTTTATTATTACTCTTTTAGGGTTAGTTTATAACACTGTGCACCACACTGTGTAATTTTTGCAAACTAACCCTAAAAGAGTAATAATAAAAATATCACTA